AGACCGGCGGCCCTGTGGATTTCGTCCTCGACGATGCTTGATTTAAACAGTATGATTTCTCGTCAGTCACTTATCGGTTGCTCCGCTGCCAGCGTCCTCGCGAACAAAATGTGTCTGAACACAATGGTCTACGGCCAACTGTTGGAGTCCCTTCGCCGCCTCTGGAAGGTAGTCGCTTGCCTATGGCGCTATCATCCTTGGACATTCTCCCGGCGTTGGAAATCGTCATCGGGCCCATGGCCAGCGCGTCGGGGCGCCTAACAGGTGCGGAAAATTTATACCAGACGGAGCCTGGGTGGAAGATTAGCGGGAAATATGTGACTCTCTCTCTCTTCGGCGCCGTTGCTAATTGACGTTGTCGTCCTCATTCAGATGCTTTACTTCTTGAATTTTGTAATGCTTGTATGTACTGCGAACAATATAACTAGAACAAGTTTTCACACACTTAGCGGCGTCTGAGCGCGAAAATTTGGACCCAATCTCGACCAGCAGAAGAGGTGCTGAATACTATTTTATGAATTGCCTTTTTCTCTGCCTTCTTTTTGTTTCTGTAGTTGACGGCTGCCGACAGTGATTGGAGGCAGAGGTCTGTGCTCTCCCACCGTTTCTTCTTCTCCCTAACATGGGCATATTCCTCCAGAGCGCCTCGCTGAAAACCGAACGCAAATGACAATCACACTGTCAGATTTTCGACGCTGTCAGGATTTCCATTTTGAATGTGCGTCTATGGAAATAAAAGAGGGTGAAGGAACAGGAGGGCAAAAGGATCTAATGTGTTAAAATAACAGGCGTCGAGGTCAGTTTTTGAAGTAGATGGTTGTATACAGTAAATCCAGCAAACCCACTTTCCCAGACGATGTGGAGCAGGTCTGGGATGTCGGCTTGCACTCAAATTAGAACTGTAGGAATGGAAGAGCAAAAAAAAACTGGGGCTAACCGTGCGCTAGGACCGGGACGTCCATACGGAAATCCAAAATATAGAATTGATCCATACCCTGCGAGGTCATGGCGCGGTAAGCTCCGGAGACGGGATCGAATCGGCTGGCGTGGTCATTCAAGCGATCCCCCTCCTGCAACAGTTCGATGCCCCAGCTCCGAGGTCCATTTTTGAAGGCATCGCGATGGATCAGAAAGTCGATGCGGCCACCAAGTTTCGAGCCCGCAGGTGTACCGTAGTCGCAACATAATACCGCGCGTGGTCTGAGTCGATAAAGACAGTGATAGAATTTATGCTGGTATGTCGCCTCCAGCGGCGTGTCGTTTATTGTGCCGCCGACGCATTTCGGCGTTTTAAGATGCTCGGGGTTGAACTGCTGGACGACATCGAGAACCAGGGAAAACAAGCTCGAGACATCGACGAAATTATCCGGCTGCGCGGGCTCCAGGCTCATCTGAATAAGCGCTGTTTGGAGGGGGAAAGTCATAGATAATCGACGAGGGGACAGCATCGGGTTCGGTGAGGCGAGGTGTTCGACGTAGATGAGTCCCATATTGTGAGCATAATTGAGATCGAGCCGGTCAAGGCCGCCGGGTGTGGGATCACCCTCGTTGTAATCAAATGGGCCTTGGAGAAAGAGACGGGTAAAGACCCGGTTCACCCGCGGATCCCGCGCTAGGTCCTGCTGAGGGAGGAACTTTTTACATTGAATGTCGGATTGGAGGAAAGGGAGGTAACGGTGTGGAGGGCGATCTTGAACAAACTCGGTGAGTGTGTATTGGACACTCCGTCGCGCCAGTGCCTTCTAGAAACCTCTCTATCAGATATGCATTCGCAAGAGCATCTAGCCTCACTCACATCGGCTTGGATATATGAGACGAGTGATCGCAAGACTGCCGCATATCCCGAGGATCGCTCATGCAAATGCTTCCGCAGATCCTGGTCCAGTTGCGGTATCAATTTGGCGTTTACAGCTGAGTCGATGAGTTCGTTTGATTCTTCAAATCTGAACAGCAGGCCCCAAGGATCGACCGCAGATGGACGCAGTTCCAATCGCCTGGATGCATCAAGTTCCATTGGTGTGTATGGCCCAGTCGCCATGGTGTGAGAACTGGTGCTTCCCCATGCACATGCGATGAGAAGACTGAACCCTTGACGACCGTGGCCGGACCACGATTTAAAAAAGCGATTCCAGAGAATCAGATCTTGGTAAGTCGTTTGCCCCTCATCAATGAGAATGCAGGTGGGGTTTTCGTTGTCGGCGCGATTGTACGCTTCAACCAGCTCCGAATGAAGGAACTTGCAGGCGGCAGAGTTCGTCGGCCATGGATCATCGTATCGTACTACGTGGACACCATTCGAACGCAGATGCAGGTGGACCAAATTCAACAACGTCGTCTTGCCGCTGGCGGCGCTTCCTCTTATCTGTGCACATTAGGTTAACTATCGAACCGCAGCCACGTTGCAATTGTGTCCTCACCTGTAGGAAGGAGTTTTCGTCGAGGCGCTTCACTATCTCCTCGACTAAAGCGCGACGTCGAGTGATTGGCGCTAAATCCAGTAAATACAATACCTCGGGTTTCATCGCAAAATCCACCTACCATCCAGCACCACCGTGGGACTGCGCGTCTTGATATGTACTTTTAGGTGAACTATATTGTTGGCATTAAGCTACGAAACGGCCACAGGAACGATAAGATTACCTCGAAGTACGTCGAAAGGTCGGACGATAGCCCAGGTATCCTCGTGGACCTCCCACCATTCTCCATTATGTTCCGACTTTCGACTCAGCGTGAATGTGTTGTCTTGCAATTCTATTGGCCAGTTGCTACAACACGCCGCGACGACCTCCTATCGGAAGTATCAGGGAATGGTCGATGCTCCTGAAGGCGGGACAGACCTTATAACTTCCGAGGCAGACGTATTTCTGTTCCTTGACGTGTTCAAACAAAACGTAGACTATGTCCATGCTGTTGTTTTTGAGAGCGGCAAGGAGATATTTCCAACTGTCATTAACTCCTTTCTTGATCAAACTTGATGGCAAACTCTTGTTGATGTATAGCCAGATGGTTGCTCAGCATAGTCTTATCCGGCTCGCAGATTGACCGAGCCCTCGGTCTAGTTTCGTTGCTCTTCTAAAACCGCCTCAAATTCCTTCGGAGCCACGTTGAACAAAACTACCACCGTCGGACCCTGTCGGACTCGAACGCCGCCTGCCCGCCCTCCTCAGCACCTCGTTCCTTTCGTTGCCGCCATCCTATGTACTGCACGATAAGCACAAAGTAGATATCTCCCATAGGAAATAGGGCGTACCGAATTCGAACTCTCGTTCGCGATTTTCTGGCCACTTTATCCCGGTCTTGAGTCTGGAGGTCGCGTTATTGTGGATTAGCAGAGTTCGACGTGCCTCAAAGAGAAGTGTCGATGTATCTTGATCAAAAGAGATACTCTACGCAAGACCTGAGTTGTATGCGACGCAACTTGGAGGGGTGGGTGCGGCCCGGGAAGGACGTAGTCGGGGATGAAGGCAAGGATGGAAACGAGGGCGCCGCCGGGGCGAGTCCGCGCGGCGGAGTAGGAACGATCGCCAAACAGTTCGAAACCTGGAGGAATATTCGGCACGCAACGAATTGAATGGACAGTGAACGAGCCAGCCAGGACGAAGAATTTTCAGGGATCGACGATTCCTGAAATGTGCTGGAAAAGATAGATCAGCGCACTGAGATGGAACTCATCCCGAGCTTTGGGTTTACCTGACGAGAATGCTGCGGGGAGAGGAATTCAGCGGGTAAATGTGGCGACAATCGTTCCAATAGGTTGAGAGTCTTAAACCGTGCAATTCAAGACCATTCGAGTCGCAGCGACCCAGTCAAACATCTTGTTATTGCATGGGGAATGAAGATAATGCGTCACCAGAATCTCCAGATGTAAACGGATTTTGTGGTCAAACTATACATGTGGCAATTAACATGCACACACGTGGCGGTCGCCGCTGAATTCAAAGAAATGAGGCAAATCTGGCTGCCGCATGGAGAGTAGATGCATGTCGTTATGGCGCGGTACTGTGGCTCTGAAGGTGGGCGATATGGACGAGCGAGAAGAGAAACTGTCTCTGAATCGGTGGCGATGTACACATCGCGGGGGAGGAGGTGGGAGGAGGTTGTAGGCACATGAACAATACGGCTCCACCATACCCAGTAGACACCACTAGCGCCCCGTAGCCAGACAACGCTACCGTAGCCCTACCTGGCCGACATGTAGCTTTACTTGCCTCGGTGTCTCGGGGCTAACGCCTTGCCGACAGAGAAGAGACAGCGAGTGGTGAGCAAGATTTCGCGCAGAACGAGACGAGAGGATGATGGGATACACCGGCAAACACCACTAACGCTCGAGGCCAAATCGGGAAGGGCGTTCGATCAATTCGATGTGCGCTTGCGTCTCACGCACGACCGATCACTGGGACAAGATATTTTTTACACACGGCAAAAACAATGGTTGAACTCTCCGATGATACGGTGTGTTTGAGCCGCTGAGCGCTGGATCTAGATTGTTCTTACTGGAAGTTGCATGAAAACCCCGGGAACGTCTTCATCTCATTTAGATACGAAGCTGAACCCACGATTCACAGGTCAAAAGCAAATACTGAAGATACCCTTGCTGACCTTCTAATTTTTGCCCTGGGGGTCGATTTGGCCTGGGTTTGGGTTTCCAACTACATCTGATCCAGTAATCACAAGTAAGAGGCCAGTGGACCAAACCGCGCAAGACGGAGCAAATTTGGATGTAGCAAAACTGATCCCTCAAACCATGTTTTTTCCGCTGTTCACACCATTCAAATGTTCAAATAGACTGCCCTTGTCGTGTTTAGCTCAGCCAAATGAGGTGGATGCTCTGCGGACTTTAATTTAATGGAAATGACTTAGCAAGATTTCTTGAGTCGATGTGATCGAGTTCAGTTCAAGAACAACCACAACGACCTCTTGGCTCAGTGGTAGAGCATTTTTGAACGGCGAACAATTGTCTGAGAGTCATCGAGTTGTGGATCAACTTCAACAACAACGTGGACCTCTTGGCTCAGTGGTAGAGCATCTGATTCCAGTAATAAGCATGGTTCCAGAAGGTCGTCCGTTCGATCCGGGCAGAGGTCATCTTTTGCGCCCGCAGGGAATATTTTCGTCCAACGACACTAATTTCCTTTTTGGGTCGGAAGCCGAAGTTGTCCCCAATTCGGCAACCACGATCGGCCACGCCAAGGCCACGGCCCTCAGAAGCCTTCGCAGCCCTGTGGACATCTTCGGCCCGCTGAAATGACAGCAATCTTCCTTGGCCAATTTGGGGTCACGAGCCGTCGCTGACCTGCGGTCAGCTCCGGCTCGCTCTCCAGGCCCAAGGAACGAGGAAAAATGGCAGCTACAAACACTATGAACGAGCTCTGATCTGCTGGGAGTATTCAGGGTATTTAGGAGTGGTCGCGAGCCGTCGCTGACCTGCGGTCAGCTCCGGCTCGCTCCCCAGGCCCAAACAAATATGAACAAAATAAGGCTGAGCTCGGAGTGATTCACAGGCCGGGAAAGTGTCGCTTGAGCAAGGAACATCTGAATAAATTCTTTGTAAACCAACGAACACCCATTTGAATTGAAACGTGCGCCTGACTCCTTGACCTCGTTAGTACTGGCAAATTTAATGTGCGACACCTCTTGGATGAGATTCCGGCGTGACCTGACTTTCAAAACACGACGTTTTTGAGAAAAGAAGACCCTGGAAACTGCCTCAGTCGATTGGGTTGAGTGTTAACTTTCCATCAGAAGCTTTCCCACGGTTCGAAAGTTACGGTCCGTTTAGACTTTTAGACTTTGAACTGGAATTTAAAGCCCTCAAGGTCTAAATGGTGGTCTGCAGTCGCATTTCGCATTGAACTTGAAGGTCGGCCGGCCCCAGGAAAGAGTCAATTTCTCAGAGGTGGCCCTCCATCCAAGTCTCAGTACCGATAATTCACTGTCGCTAAATTTCGCCTGAAAACCGACGCGTAAGTTTGGAAGAGCTGATTATGCTCGCGTTCACCCTCAATGACTATCCAAGTTGGTTAAGGGCTTGTGATACCTGGGCCTCAAGGCACCCGCGTACACTCTGGACTGGTTCTTAAAGTGATTTGAAGTGAACGACTTGTGGCATGTACGGCGGCCGTTTTTATTGCGGAAGTTCCTACCAATGGCTGAGTTTAATTGCAACTGAGCCACTTACTCAAGCAATTTTCATCATCAGTTCATATGTGCGCCAATTGGATGGAGTATTCGTCGGGCTGAGAAAAGTCGTTCAAGCCTGACGCGCTTGAAATTGGCGATATAGACGGAGTGATTTCGCTGGATGTAAGATGGTCACGCAGAAACAGTTGCAATTAGGACGCGAGACCGAGTTGTCCCGATTCGGCAACCACGATCGACCATAGAAGCCTTCGCTGTCCGCAGGCCCGCCGAAATTGAACTGACATCCTAGCACAGGGATTTTCCTTGCCCAATTTGGGGTCGCGCTGCGGTCAGCTCCCAGACCCAAGCAACGAAAAAATGTTGCAGTGACAGCAGGAACGAGCTTCATCTGCTGGAATTATTCAGAGTCTTCATGAGTGGTCGGAGCCTTCGGCAGCGATAGTATACCCTCCAGGCGACGGTCGGTTAAAAGCTTTCCCACGGTTCGAAACTGCCCAGTCAATATTATGGTCGAGATGTCGTGACTCCATCCCCGAAAGAAAAAAATCCTGCCAACACAATCCAAAGCGTCGGTGCTCTCGAACGTTCAACTGCAAAAAAAAAAATTGGGGTATTATCGAGCTCCGTTGCTACTAGTATTTCACGTGTAGAACAAACTAAACCCCCATTTTCTTGTTTAGTTTAATGACTCGGATAATGTGAGCGTTCGGATACTGCAAACCTTGTTAGTATCAAGCCATGGCAGATGGCAGAGGAAAAGGCGGAAACGAATGTATGCATGGTGCAATCCGTAAAAGTGCGCCGTCCAACGGCGGCAGTCTAGCCCGAGTTCGAATGCTGTCTTCAGAGTAATCGCGAAATGGAGAGAATTTTTGAAGACCCGTGAAAAAATCGTTGGGTGTGAGTTAGTCTGATTTGATGGTTCAACGAAAGCAACATACGAACAAACAAACCCCTTTCTTTCTCTCTCTCACTCATGTTACCATTTTCTCCAGGACGTCTATTGCAGCCCGAACCAGTCATGGATGCTTCGGACTCTTTTCCATGTTCTTGCTGGAATAAAAAAACGGATTTGTCGTCAGTCACGACCGTACACGGTAAATGATCCATGTGCTGCCAAAATTCCAACTCAACGCTTCGACTTCAGTCCAAGAAAACGGCGTCATATTTTGTGACCTTGAAGGGCTCCCTTTGTTTCAGAGTGTGTCGAGTGGTACCCAAAATTCGCACTTACTCAAATAATCTACTTCGCAGAGTCGTTCCGCTTTCTATCCAAAAGCTTCTGGGAATTCGACGACGACATGTCCCCAGAGGACACTCTCCGATTCCCCGTCGTTCCTCGAGTTCTTGGTGACATTGCAGTCCGCGTTACCTTTCAGTCACCGGCGTGTATGGCCGTCTTTTGCTAGTGTTATTTTGTGCAACTGAACTCAGAATTTAGGTCGCGATACCTTGGTTGAAAAACTGCAGCAATACTGTCCCCCAGACAAACGAGATTTGGCGATCGCGACCACCATCCACATCCTCGAATGCGGCGTTGCGAAACGTCTTCCCAATCACGACCACCTGCACGAGATTATCGATTCCACACTGACCGAGTTGGCGTTTTCACCCGCATCAAGTATCCTGGCGCCCATCTACGATTGGAAGGTCACTCATGATGATTTGGAGCTCCATCGAATCCGCACACAAGTTAAAGATTTTTTCTTATCAAATCCTCCGCCCATTGTCGTTCTAGTCGAATCGAACGAGTCCTTGCCCCGTACAGAAATCAATGTCTCCAACGCAATGGCCCCTTTGCCTTTTTGTGCTGCTCTGTTACCCCACACGCCCACGTGGCCGCTCACGACCATACCGCCGCCTCGAGACGAATGGCTCCAAAGCATCTTGAACAACTACGGTGTGCACCAGCGCCATCGGGATGGGAACCCAAATTCAAAAACCATTTTCCTCTCTATGGAACTTTACCGTTGGTATATTGCTGCCTTGACGGCGGCTCAAAACTCGCCCTCTCCCGAGGCGACACACTCCCTATTGGCGGCAACAGCCAGTATAAAGGCCACGGTGATACACGAGACCGGCCACTTTTGGGTAGCCCATGAGGTGAATTAATGACAACCTTCATGCATATTTTGGTATTAACAAGCACACTTAGCCAACCGGTGATTCACCCGCCCACGCTTCCGCCAAAGACGCCGACATCGCCCAGTTCGATGTCGCGGAGAACGACGACATGGAGCCAGACATGATCGAGGCCGGAAATTTAATCGACACGGTCTGGCTGGGCGGTCCGCACAGGTTGGTGATCAGTAGTAGTGAGTAATGCTATCGATTCGAGTCTTCTATGGTAACATTGGCCCACAGCGGGATGGCTTCGTTTTGTGCTGTGCAAAACGGAGACAGAGGAAGACAAGTCCTTGCTGCCCACCGTCTCTCTCTCCTCCTCGATACCCATCCCTTCCGTATCTGGAACGGCCGTCGATGATCATGACTTCCCGCAAACTCCAGACCTTCGCTTCTCCGAACTTGGATCTCCAATCCATCTGCCGAAGCCGCAAGGCCCACCAACCCTAGTTTCGCTAGACGACGAATTGAAGGCGGAAGAGGGGCCGCATCGTCTCCGTCTCGTCGAGATAGGCGATACAGAGTTCCTTGCGAGACTTTGTGCTCTAAGAGTCCCTGTTTTTGTTCAAGGTGTTTCGGGACAGCGATCCACCGTCCTCGTCTGCAACAAGAACGACTCGCCGTTGTATATACCTAAAAAAGTGCCGGTCCATGGTCAACCATCACCCCGCCGGAGTGACGGCCCCCCGCAACCTAGGAAAACGCCGGTGGGCAAGCAAGCCCTTTTGCTTGTTGCAGGAAGAAAGAAAACTAAATGGCCGTCTGTCTGGAAGGCGTCGGACGACGGTACTGATTCTCATCTACGATAGTTATCCACGCAAAGGCAGGAAATGAATGCGAAACCTGGCTGTGGGGCGTTTTCTTCAGGCAAAGCGGATCTCAAGCTCTGTCTCTATTTCACGGGTAGGATAAACTAGATGTCCCGGTCTCGTATTTTCTTGTATAGATTAATGATAAGGTCATTAGCTGTGAGCGTTATGATACTGTACGCTCTGTCAGTATCGAGAAACGAATAGGGAGAGAAGGCGGAAACGTACGTGTGGGGTGCAATCCGTAAAAAGTGTGCTGTCGAGCCTGTGTTCAAATGCCGGTTTTAGAATAAATGCGTCGATATGGCGCAAAACACACCCTTGTACCACCCACGAAGACCTTCCGTCTTCGCCGTTTTCCAGAGGCAATCTATTGGATTTTTGTACAACGTTCCAACCAATTTACCGGTCGGCCCGACGACGGTGGGTTGGTTATACACCCGTGTTAATGCCTGAAAAATGGTCAAAAAAATACCTAAAGGATTAAGCTGACCGTACGGTGTCCGCGGGCTGCATTACAATGCACTGGAAATTGTGAGGCCGGCTTTTTTGGTTCACGGAGGAATTTACGCACAACACACACGCCCGAAACGGCGCTACTCGCGAGAAAGGTCCATGTGCTGTTGGCAGGGAGTATATCGCGGCTCACGAGGAAATTCTTCGTGAGGTTGTAGCTTGGTAATTGCACCTAGACGCTGTAAGAACCGGCCGGGACCGAGGCCGAGATGAGAAACACGGACCGAAGAGCCCATAGATGTCCGCAAGATTGCCGCGTCTATCCCCCGAACGAGACCTCGCACGCCCTCCGCGCGGAATATAGTAGAGAGCGCGTGGAATGAGTTTTTGTAGTAATGTTGGGCACCGACTGGGAGAGCGGGAGAGTAGGCTTGCATACGAGCCTTGATCAGGAATAGCGGGTTGCCCAGCGAGGCTATGAACGCGTATGTTCAGAGCGCAGATAATCAATCGGGGGTGATACCGACCTCCGACTGCTCCGCTCGTGGCTCCCGC